CTTCCCGCCATCATTTTTTATGTTATGGAACACCTTCCTGTTCATCTCCCACATGAAGCAGAGCTCGGTGGACCGGTTCAGTAAAGGTGGATGTATCCGTTTGAGCTTTTCATGAAGCATCTTAAGGGTAAAGCCAAAAACCTAGCTAAAGTGGAGGGTTCAATTATGGCGGGAAGCTTAACGGAAGAGACTTCGCACTTCACTTCGTACTATTTTGCATCAAAAGTACGAAAACGCAAAAGAGCTACTCGTCGATATGATGATGGAGGAGTTGGCCAAACATATGCAATTGAGGGTGAACCTGACATATTCTTGCCGATCGGACGTCTTAGTGGAAAAATGAAGGAAGTTTGGTGGTCTAATGAAGAACATCGATAGGATGAATCTGATTGATTTTCATGCATGATTTTCATATATGTTTGTTGTTATTTTTTATAATTAAGTAATTTGTAATTGTATTTGTTTGATTTTTTTTAATAATTTAAACCATTAGGATGGTTTACGACAATTTTTCTAAATCCTAAACCCTGAGTGAACCCTTATACCTTGATTGAATAGTGTATGCGTATTACGACGACTTTACGACGAGTAGTCGTAAATTTGTCGTACTTTTACGATGATTTAATGACGCTGTAAAAAACGTTGTAAATCATCGTAAAGGTCAAATCCCAAATTTTGAATTCTTTATATCTGATTGGTTTTTAACTATTTCACAAATGTTTTTGATACGTTATCTTATTTTATATGAAAATTGAAAAGTATTCATTCTGATAAAAATCAGAAATTTGAAAAAATTCATACATATTTACAAGTTCATGCATGTTTTTGTAAATGTTAAGTAAAACTAGGGATTAACCCGCACTATAGCGCGGGAGATATATTTTTAATCTTTAATTAATTTAAATAATTTGATGAAAACAGTTATTTTGTAAAAATAGTTATTGTTATAAAGTTTACAATAATATAGTGCATATTTTTGTGAATTTTAAATAATGAGTTGATTTGTATATATATATATATATATATATATTTTTTTTTTTGAATTATAAAAAATGAGTTAATCCATGAAATTATTTTATAAGCGTGTAAAGCAAAATAATTTGTTTTAAACCCGTTGGCACTAAACTAAAATATTATCTAGGCTATTATATAAAAAATTATAATATTATAATCATAAACTCTAATTTGCATCGTTTAATAATTGACATTTATAATCTGTTCACTAACTATAAAAATTTAATTTTATCTTTTTAACTATATATGAAAATAATATAATATTCTTTACACTTAGGTTTGATATATAATAAATAAATATACAACAAATTATATTTAATTTAAATATATATATAATTTAGTAAATTGAATATATTACTTATTTTAAAAAATTAACATTTTGAATTTTGAGATTTTTTTGTGGGTATTAAAAAATTAAAATTATAATCTGTTCACATCGAACTAACCCATTTACTTAACATATTTGTATTGGATTAAAATTTAATAATTAATTATAATATTCACCGTTTAATAACTCTCATTTCACCACAAACTTTTTTTCTTTAAAAATCAATTTTTCATATCAAATTTTTTGTAAAATAACTAAAAAAGTATTTTTGTATATAATCAATCAAATGTAGCAAATTATTGAAAAAAAATACTTCACCACTTTTTTAATATCATAACTTTTAATTTTGACTTTTATAATATTTCTAAATTCAAAAATTTATTTTCATGTTTTTTAATTAAATATACTTTATAATATCATTTGAAAATAAAAATAATAAAAACTATCATATTTTTGAATTTAGAATTAAATAATAAATATACTCTATTAAATGAGAAATAAAGACTTTCCATATTTTTAGCAATAGAGTTGAAAGACAACTATATCCTTTCCTATTTTAATTATTCTTTGTTATTTGTAATGACATATCATGTAATATTTTACCAAATAAAGGTTATATTTTAAAATGTCTACTCAAATAATAATATAGAGATGTTATATATTAGATAAGATGATTAAAATATTTTTTATCTCATTCAACAAATCAGTCATACATGTAAAGTGATGAACTTATTCTAATATGTTAGTTTAAAATCAGCTTTGCATTGTCCTTAATGCAATAATCATTTTGAAAGATTTAGGGTTTGGTAATTTTTTTAAATAGCATCGTAAAACTGTCGTACAAGCGTCGTAATATTACGACAACTTTACGACGCTTGTTCATCAAACCGTCGTGAAACCGTCGTAATATTCATGACGATCATACCTCTGACAGCCACCGTATTGGCTCCAGATCCGAGGTACGAGGATATAAATATCTGCGTATTACGACGGTTTTACGACGGTTTGATGAACAAGCATCGTAAAATCGTCGGAATGCTCAAACGCTGTGAGCATGCCACATGGCTTTTCAAGCACTGGTACGTTGGTTACAACTAAATCGTCGTAATGTTATGACAATTTTACGACGATCACAAAATCTATATAAGGGACGCAATTTTTCCTTCTTTCATCGTTCATTTCTCAAATCTCTCTCTCTCTCTCTACACACCCCCTCTCTCTCTAGCTCTCCCTTCCTCTCTCCTCTCCTAAGAAATTTTGTACGTTTTTTTTTTCAATTTTTTTCAGGTTAATTTATATTTCTGTTATTAATTTTAATAGTTAAAATGAAATAATTAGGGAAAGTAGTTAGGTTTGGAATTTAGATAGGCCCGGAATTTAGAAATAAAATAATTTTGTTATATATATATATATATATATATATATTTAATTTTAATTTGTAGATTATTCAGATGGCTCCCCGGAGCAAGAGGTTCTACTACCGGAACATTGTTGATCTGGACGGTAACGCCCCGTCCAACTCAGCTACAGAGTCCGCCATCTCGGAGTCCTCGGGAATACAACCTATGGTTTCGCAACCGGTGGTTGTCTCACCGCCTCCACCGCCTCCACCGCCACCACCACCAGCAGCATCAGCCCCAGCCCTGATACAGCCTCAACCGTATGCCAAGTATACGGTTGAGGATCTTCTACAGAAACCGGGTCGTGGCAGTATGAAGAAACTTGATCCGAATCGAACTTCGGGGATGTTTTGGTACGATTTTTGATTTTTTTATAAATTTTTAATTAAGATATTTATATTTATAATTAATTTAAATATCTAACAAATATTGTTTTACGACTAGGTTTTCGACCGACAACCAAGTCGGTCGGAGCGTTGCCAACATCATCAAGGGGTTCTTTGAACAACCCCATACCAGCTTTAAGAAGCTGGATTAGCCAACTTTTGACACTTGATTCAAATGTTTTGCGGTAATTTCGTTAAAATTACGAATTATATTATTATTTTTTATCTTTTAAAATAATTACTAACTCTTGTATTTTTGTAGCAAAACTGGCATTGGGAAACTTCCGCACACGAACGTGTGAAGACAGCCTTCAGAGAGAAGGTCAAGTTACGGCACAACAACATCGTTTCCGACTGGAAGCGCAAGTGGGAGGTCGACGGAAACAAGGCAAAGCCGGCTCCAATGGCCGATAGCGTCTGGGAGGGCCTGGTGCACCATTGGTTGACCCCGCACAACCAGACTATTGCCGCCAAGCATTCTAGATCCAGGTTTGTTTGTAAATTAAATTAATATGTGTTTATAATATAATATTATATTTTTAATTACAAAACTAATAATTTCTTTATTTTCAGGAACGCTGTAGACGATGCGGGAAATCCAAAGAACGTTCCGCACACTTCCGGCCAGGTTCCTTTTGCCGGGAGACGTCTTATGATGGTAAGTTTTTAATAACAAGTTTTTTCAATAAACCTGTAATTTGTCTTATTAATAATTTCGAATTGATTTTATCGGTCGAAGAAAACGGAGGAGAACTTCCTCCGATGACGAAGGTCTTCGCCGAGACACACAATAAGAAGAATGGCGAATTCACAGATCCTCGGGCGGAGGCGATTTACAATGCAGCCTGTGCGAGGATCGATGAGCGACAGACGCAGCTCTCGCAGCAGGCGCCTCCGACGTCTCCTGGTGGTACGTTGCACAGAATCGCTTGGAAAGCTACGATTCCCGCTACGGAATCAGAATCGGAATCGAAATCGCATGGAATCGATCAAAATCGTTAGGGAATCCACTACAAGAAAACAAGGTCATTTCCGACGGAATTTCCCACGGTAATATTCCGTCGGAAATTATCGACGGATTTATGACGAGGTTTTGACGAAAATGATATGCGTCGGAAATCCGTCGGATATTTCCGATGGAATATAATTCGTCGGAAATTTCCGACAACTTTTCGAGGACAAATTCCATCAGTAAAAATTCCGACAAAAATGTGACGAATTTTAGATGGATATTCATGTCCGTCATTCTCCGTAAGAGTTCGGTCGGAAGTTTCCGAGGACTTTCCGACGACAAATATCGTCCGACCAATTCTGATGGAATTCCGACGGATTTCTGACAACTATGTTACATTTATCCCACATCGGCTGGCAAAAAGGAGAAAGATAACTAAAGTGATCTATAAATATTCACACTTGCTCGAAAAATTATCAAGTGAGCTTTCTCAAATGCTCAAAGGCTTGGTTAACAGTTAAAATTTAATCAATTTGTTTGACCAATTTGGTCCTAGTCGCAGAACAGTTGCGGAAGCGGGTATTTAATTGCTCAAGTGCATGTGTTTTTGAACACAGATAAAAAATCTATCTATAATGTCTTCTTCAGTTTCTTATAATTATTTTCGATCATGGATGGATAAGCCTTATCAAATTCCAGGTACGGGTCTTATTACGGAATAATATAAACAAGGGATACAACAATTCATGGCATTTGCGAGTATGCAAAAAAAAGCCAAAAAATCTGGTAAAATATATTGTCCATGTACTAATTGTCAGAATCGTAGATCAGTCATAATAGACGAAGTATGGTCACACCTGTATTGTAATGGGTTTATACCGGGTTACAAAGTTTGGTACTATCATGGAGAAAATGATTCAATGGTTAATTATGCTAATACTAGTGAACAATATATCGGAGATAGTTTAGAAGAACCTGCAATAGAAGTAGAAGATGTAGGTCATGTTGAAATGAGAAACGTTGGTCACGTTCAGATGGTGAATGATGCATTTCGTGAAATTATACCATCAACTGCAGAGTATGCAAATAGAGGAGAAGAACCTAATTTAGAAGCTCGGAGGTTCTTTGATATGTTGGACGCTGCTAAAAATCCGTTGTATGCTGGTTGTAGAGATGGACATTCCCCTTTATCAGCTGCAACTAGGATGATGGGTATAAAGACGAATTTTAATTTGAGCGAGGAATGTGTGGATGCAATAGCTGATTTTGTGAAAGACATTTTACCGGAAAATAATCTTGCACCAGCATCATATTATGAAATAGAGAAACTTGTTTGTGGTCTTGGATTGCCGTATCAGATGATAGATGTGTGCATCGATAACTGTATGCTATATTGGAGAGAGACTGTAGACCGTTCAACATGTTATTTTTGTCGCAAGCCTTGGTATAAGGATACATGGGGAAGAGTGCGAGTCCCACATAAACGAATGTGGTACTTACCGTTAACAGAGAGACTGAAGAGGTTATATCAATCAGAGCGTACGGCAAGTGCAATGAGATGGCATGCAGAGCACACCTCGGATGGAGAAATTGCTCATCCCTCAGATGCAAAAGCATGGAAACATTTTCAATCCATTTATCCCACTTTTGCGTATGAGGCAAGGAACATATATCTTGGATTATGTACGGATGGTTTCAACCCGTTTGGAAAGCATGGAAGACAGTATTCGTTGTGGCCAGTAATTGTAACACCTTATAATTTGCCACCATCTCTATGCATGAAACGAGAGTTTTTGTTCCTTACCATTCTCGTTCCTGGACCAGAGCATCCAAAGAGAGCATTTGATGTGTTTTTGCAGCCACTGATTTATGAGTTACAAATGTTATGGAAACATGGTGTTGAAGCGTTTGATGTTTCTTGTCAGCAGAATTTACCATGCGGTCAGTACTGATGTGGACCATTAGCGATTTTCCAGCATATGGCATGTTATCTGGTTGGACAACACACGGAAGATTATCTTGCCCATATTGTCAAGATAACACAGATGCGTTCCAATTGAAACACAGAAGAAAAACTTGTTGGTTTGATTGTCATAGGCGATTTCTACCAAAAGATCATCCTTATCGTCAGAGCACCACATTGTTTAGTAAAAACCGTCGAGTATTTAATGATCAACCTCCTGAGGTAGATGGAGAAGGTTTGTTAACTCAGTTCAGAGATTTCGGTGTAGAGACCACCATAGAGTGTGGTGGTAACGGGCATCAACCTGTTGATGGTTGTGGTATCAACCACAATTGGCACAAAAGAAGTATTTTCTGGGATTGGCCTTATTGGAAGGATCATTTGTTGAGGCATAACCTAGATGTCATGCATATTGAGAAGAATTTTTTTGACAACATAATGAACACCATTCTGAATGTCCAAGGGAAAACAAAGGATAATCTGAAGTCTAGATTGGACTTGCCAAGCATTTGTTCTCGTAAGGCACTACATGTTTCATCAAGCGGAAAGCCTCCAGTCCCTGTTTTTCGGTTAGATGAACCTTCAAAGGCTGAGTATTTTAACTGGATCGCCGATAATGTTAAATTCCCAGATGGATATGCATCTAACCTTCGTAACTGCGTTGATCATGGAGAAAAGAAGTTTTCTGGAATGAAAAGTCATGATTGTCATGTTGTGATGCAGCGCCTCCTTCCATTTGCATTTGCGGGTCTTCTACCACGTAATGTCCATGAAGCAATTGCAGGTATACTAATTATATTAAATTTATTATTTTATTTATATATATATATACACTAATTTTTCTAAGATCTAATTACTTTTTAATACTTTGTAGGGATTGGTGCCTTTTTCGAGATATATGCACACGATCTTTGACATCGGATGGTATCCGGAATTTTGCGAGCAATATACCTGTAATACTTTGCAATTTAGAGAAAATATTTCCTCCTTCATTCTTTGATGTTATGGAACATCTACCAATTCATCTCCCTCGAGAAGCAGAACTTGGGGGACCTGTTCAATACCGTTGGATGTATCCTTTTGAACGGTATATGTTTCATTTAAAAAAAAAAGTTAAAAATTTGAGCAGAGTGGAGGGTTCTATTGTAGCACAAAGCATTAATGAAGAAACTTCAAATTTTGCTGAGTATTACTTTACAAAAGAGGTCAAAACAAAGAGTCGTAGACCAACTCGACATGATGATGGCGGTGAACTACCTTTTTATCCGGTCATCGTTCCCAATATTTTCTTACAAATTGGACGACTCAGTGGAAAAGGTAAGAAACGAAGGCTTTCAACACAGGAGCGAGATCATTTGCAAATGTATATTCTCACAAACTGCGAAGAAGTTCAAGAATATGAGAGGTATCTATTATATTAGACCGAATTCTTGCTTATAATTGAGTTTTTAGTTGTATATATTTCTTAGTTTTTTTATATGGCGTATTCTGTCAGGATTTATATGGCGTATCAACGTTTTGCATATCCAGACAAAACTGAGGATGAGTTGATCGAACTAAAACAGGAAGAATTCTCACGTTGGTTGAGAAATTATGTAAGTTTTTAATAACATTGATTTTTATTATCAACTTAATAATTTTATTAAATTATATGCAACTCTCTCTTCCAGGTTACGACAGAGAAAGCTAATGGTCGATCATTTCCAACGTGGTTAGATGAATTAGTATGTTTTCCACTATCTTCCGTACAATCACACGTAATGTATAGCACACGAGGCTACGCTTTTAAGATTTTTCAGGATGGTAGGAGCAGATCAACTTCAGATTATGGTGTATCTACTCAATCTGGTGATTTTGTATATTATGGTGTCCTAAGAGAGATTTTGGATGTTAAATATCCGGGAATGCTCGGCCTGAGATGCGTTGCATTTTTATGCGATTGGTACAATCCAGTCGTTGGACACGGTGTGCGTCATGACCAATTTGGTGTTACATCAATACATAGCAGAAGACGACTCCATAAATATGATCCATTTATACTTGCTTCCCAAGCGGACCAGGTTCATTTTATTCGTTTACTATTATTTGTTAGAATTTAACATTTATATAAAATAATATAAATTAATTAACTTTAAATGACATGGTGTAGGTATGCTATATTTCCTATCCTCGAATAAAAAATAAGCAAGATCCATGGATTACAGTGACATCAATAAACCCTAGAGGTCGGGTACATGGGATTTCTGAACATGAACCGCTCCAACAAGGCTCTGTAGGTTTAAGTTCGGTTGAGCATTCACTTGAAGTTGATCTTGTCGTAGATTTCACTGTAGATGTGGATGATCGGGTATTTGAGGAGTCAGAGGAAGAAATTGATGAATTTGGGGAAGATTGTGATTCATCAAGATCAGATTACTCATCATCGGATTCAGAGACATAGTAGTCCATGTAATTTACAATGTAATATTATATATTTTGGACCAGTAATATATATTATATATAACCTGTACTTTATGATAAAAAAACATATATCTAATTGTGATATTTTTTTATAAATTATGATTTTAAAATTAAATATTATTATATATCCGTCGGAAATCCGTAAGAAACTTCCTACAAAATTCTGACGGATTTGTAAAATATGACCGATAATATAGCAAGTCTAGCTCCGTCGGAATTTCGTAGGAAATTTCCTACGGATTTCCGACGATTTCTATAAATTATGATTTAAAAATTAAATGTTATATATCCGTCAGAAATCCGTGGGAAACGTCCTACGGAATTCCGACAGACTTGTAAAATATGTTCCACAATATAGCAAGTCTAGATCCGTCGGAAATCCGTGGGGCACGTCCTACGGATTTCCGACGAACTGTTATATTTAACATGTTTATCGCATTTTAAATAAGTTTCCGACCTTAAATATCGTCAGAATTTTGTCGAAATTGTTCTGACGGATTTCCGACGAAACACTAGAATTTATGTTTAGAATATAAGATTAATAAATAATTTCATGGAAACCCTTGTCAAACATTGTCTAAAGTATATATATTGGTACAATGTCTTTTGAATTGAAAAAATAATCATTTGGTAGTTTAAGTTTAAGTTTATGGAGAATGTGGAAGTGTTAGTTTAAGTATATATAATATAAGGTATAGGGTTTAGTATAAAAATTGTATAAGTTGGTGTTGTGGAAAAAAAATTTCTTTATAATGTTTATTTTTGTTGAGTTAACATTTTGTTTGAAGTAAACACGTAAATTAGAAATATCTTTATCATATCACTAAATTTAAAATTCTAAACCCCAAAATTACCCTGAATCCGTCGGAATGTTGTAGGAAATTGTCCACGGAATTCTGACGGATTTAACTTAAAATTTATTTTCGATATATTTTATAAATCCGTCGGAAATGCGTGGGAAATATATCCATGAATTTCTCACAGATTAAAGATAACATTGTCCCCACACTCTGATTGCCCAATAAAAATGCATGCAAATAATATTCTTCATATATTCTATGTTCGTCAGAATTTCGTAGGAAAAATGCCACAAATTTCCGACGGAACCAAGGGTTTTCAATTTAGCGGGAATTTAGACTGCCAAACCAAAAAAATAAATTCCATTTGTTTCAGTACTCACGGATTTCCTACAGATCAATTCCGTCGGAAATGAAAAATATATATTTGATACATGGAATTATATTTCATGATTTCATCTCTCTGTAACTGATGAAATCTCGTCTCTCTCTCAAAACCCGAACCGAAATCTCTTGTCTTCTCCACTCTCTCTCTGTAAAATCGAAATCTCTTATCTTCTCCTCTCTCTCTTTGTAAAATCGAAATCTCTCATCTCTCTATTCAATCGATATCTCTCATCTCTCTCTCTAATTGAAGTTTCTCTCTCTCTCTAAATTTCCAGTCAATCTCTTATCTTTCTCAAAATCTCTCGCCATCTTCCAATGGATGCCATGTAAGTTCTTCTTTTCCCCTTATTCTTGTTGTTAATTATTAGTTTCAAGTAAGGAATCCCAGATCCATATTATGTATTAGGTTGATAGATTTAAGGAATTTATTATGAGAGATGATTAGAAATGAAGATTGGAATTAGCTTATAGTTAGTTTATGGGTGTTAAATTTTTCTTTGTGTGGCATGACAGTATAGCGATTGTTAGTTTTAGGAGACAATAATTATTTATAATTTTAAAGAATTACAAAAACAGGTTTTGAGTATTTTATTTTTAGATTTCTAAGTATTCATTCATAATTTTTTGATAATATTAAAATTCTTTATATAAATACAATTATTGTAAATCTTTAAAAAACGTTTTTGTAATATATAATAAACGTTTTAATAGTAGAATAATTTAAATAAATTAACAATATCTAAAAAAACTATTTGCAATATCTGAGAAAACGTTTCTCTAAACCCTTTTTTAATATATAATAAAACGTTTTAATAGTAGAATAGTTTAAATAATTTAACAAAATCTAAAAAAGATATTTGCAATATCTAAGAAAACGTTTTTCTAGAATTTTTTTAATATATAATAAAACGTTTTAATAGTATAATAGTTTAATAAATTAACAATATCTACAAAAAATATTTGCAATATCTAAAAAACGTTTTCTTAATAATATTAAAATATGTTTTAAATGTTTGTAAACATATATATCATTAATTTGAATAGGAAAACGTTTTCTAAATAAATTAACAAAATATTATAAGATTTTGAAATAATGAAATATTTGAAAATATTGAAAACTTTAGTCAAAAGTTTTTGAAATCTAAGATTTTTTTAAAGCTTCCTAAACTTATGAAATGAAAAATTGTTTTACTTACGTTTAAATTTGTTTCAAAGAGACGAGGATGCTATTTGTTTGAACTCACAAGGACGGAGTCGGTCTCGAGATACTTTCCAAAGCATGCACACCTCAAGCACTGCAATTCCGGATTCCGAGCAATCTAGGGCCCGCAGCCACATGGAAATTGAGGACTTAGTCGATCAGCCAAACCGAAGACATTGTATCCGTCTTGACCCTATGTACGAAGATGGGACTTGGTAAGTTACATTTTGATTTTTTTTTTTTTCAATTAATTTAGCTTATAATTTATAATTTACAATTTGTTTTTGTTTTGTTTTAATATTACAGGTTTAAGTTGTCGCATGCGATAACTAAAGCGATATTTCGGATGCTCCATAACTTGTTGGACAAACCGTATGAGAGATACTCATACATGCCGAGACACGAAAAGGATTTATGGCATCGTACTTTCGCGGTAAGTTGGTGTTTTTTTATTTTTATTTTAGAAAAATTTGATATTTTTAACTCTTAATATATTTTGTGTTTTTTTTGTAGCAAGAGTTCACTTGGGACCGCCACCATACAACGAATGTTCTCAACACTTTCGACAAGTATGCCACTACCCAGTACTCGCAGCACATGTACGAGTGGAAGCAGAAGTGGCTTCAGAAGAAACATAAGCCAAAAGATCTTGAAGACGATGTTTGGAAAGGATTTTGCGAGTATTGGGATAAACCAGCAACGAAGAAGCTTTCAACAACCAACTCGAAGAATCGAAGGAGTGAACGGAATGGGAAAGGGATGTACATTCACAACGGAGGTGCAAAGACTATCGAACGAGAAGCGATGGAAATGGTAAGTATATATTTTATTAGAATTTTATATATTTTCTATTGCTATATTACTTAACAAATTTTTGCAGGCAAAAAAAGCCGGTGGAATTCCTCCGGATTTTCTTGAGCTTTTGGAAATAAGACACACAAACAAAAAGACCGGTGTTATCCAAGATCCGGAGATTCGTGAGAAGATTGAAATCTGCAAAAAGAGGAAGGAGGACAAGATTGTGGAACTCTCGCAATTCAATCCCGATGGATCGACTTCTTCAAACGAGATACTCCGAGAAGAGATCAACGACATTGTTCTCAGTGTAAGTTAAAAAAAAATTTCATTAATTTTCTTTCTCTATTTCATCATCTATCTAACAATTTTATAATTTTTTTTAGGAAATTCGAAAAGTGAAGGGCAGATTTGTCGGGTTAGGCGGACTCCCGAGCCAAGAGTCTTCTTCTTCAAGTTATTATGCCCCATCTGCAAACTACAAAGCTGACATAGATAAACTATCTCTAACGGTTAGAGAGCGTGATGAGGAGGTTGCAGAGCTTAAGGCCGCTAACCAGTCAACCCAACAAGAACTATCTGATCTGAAAGCCGTTTTGAAAACCGCATTACCTTTTCTTTAAATAGTTATGTTTTAAAATTTTCAAAACTATTGCTAGTTTGTATTTTTTTAAAAACAAATTTCATGTTTTTAGAATTTTTAGTTTAATTAATATTTTTAAATGTTTATTAATTGTTTAAAATAATAAATAATAATTTTAAATAATTAATTGCAAATTATGTATATATCTGTATTTTCAAAACAATATTTATAATGGTCACAAATCCGTTGGAAAAAGTTTGGTCACAAATCCATAAGAAACGTTTCGTCGAAAATTTGTAAGAAAATCCGTAAGAATATATTTCGTCGGAAATCCGTAGGAATGCATTTCGTCGGAAATCCGTAGGAATGCATTTCGTCGGAAATTCGTAAGAATGCAATTCGTCGGAAATTCGTAGGAATGTATTTTGTCGGAAATTCGTAGGAAATAACCGACCTTAAGGTACCGTGGAACAGTCATCGGTTTTTTGTCGGTAAACTTTCACCACGGGAAAACGTCAGTAGGTTGTCGGAAAAGAATTTATCGGTTTAGCGTCAGAAATATCCGACAAGATTCCAACCACTACAATCCGTCGGAATATTCCCACGACTTTCCGACGGATGCATATTTCCGACCAGCTCAAACCGACGGAATTTATTTTGTGGCAAATCCGTCGGAAACGGTCATTTCTGACGGATTTCCTATGGATGTAGTCGTCAGAAATGAGCTGTTTTCTTGTAGTGATCGCGATTCCAAAATTTTACCGTTTGGAAACACCGAGGAATCTTATGATTCTGAATTGGAATCATGTTCTTTTTGGTTGCAAGCGTTAGCTACGAACTTCGATCAAAATTATAGAAGGAGAAGATGACATGTCATTACAATTTTGTTAAGCCTATATATTTCAAGCCCATTAGGCCATTTTTATCGTTTTTTTTATGAATGTGTGATGATGCATTGGATTTTTGTTGTTTAAGTTTAATATATTTTGTATATAATTTTATGTTAGATGTTTTATGATATATATACATATATATGCTTCCAACACATATCTGCTTCCTAAATGTTTTGAAAAATCCGCTTCCCCGCTTCCAAACGCTTCCCTTCCGCGATTCTGCTTCTGATTCTATGCAGCTTACACCGACCTTGACGGTGGCAGAGATGGAAGATCTTCGAAGAGGTAAGCTTTAATTTATTTTTTCCTACTTAATCTTCAACTATAGGTGTTTTAAATATGTTTTTAACAATTTTCCAGGTTGCCCCTTGGAAGAAGGGTAAAGTTTTAGGGATGAGATCCATCCATGATACCCCGATCGCTACTGTGACTGGTCATATCCGGGCAAAGGATCCAGTGGTTATTCGCCAGGAGCTCCACCAGATGCGGACGCAATACAAGACGAAGATCGACAAGTTGTACGGTTTCTTTGATATTTTGGGCGCCGAGAACCCGTTGCTCCAAGCACAGTTGGTCAGATTGCGGGCAGCTGGAGTTCTCGGCGCATCTTCTTCATCCTCAAGGAGGCAACCATCGGTGCAGACGGACGAGGAGATGTTCCGGTCTCTCGGGGTTAATCCTCCTAGAACCGGGGATCAGGCGCTGGAAAACTCCAACCGAAGAGCCGGCAAGGAACCTGCGGACCAAGATGGGGAGCAAGACGATGCGGAGATAGACAACATTAGTGTAGATTTAGGTCTTTAATATATTTTTTATAAATAATGTAATTTTTGTTATTTTGAATTATAATTAAATTTAAATATTCATTTTTTATGATATATATTTTTTTTCAATTAAAATTTCAATTCGGATTAAATAATTTTTATTTATTTTCATTTTAAGAAAACTTCGTATATTTATCGTAATATATTTATTATTTATTTAATCCATCGTCGTAAAATCGTCGTAGTAAAATATAAAAAAATACGACTTAATTACGATGATATGTGCGTCGTATATTATATACGACGCTCATACGTCGGTTATTTATGATGGTTTTATGTCGAATTAAAAAAAAACGACCCAATTACGACGATATGTTCGTCGTATATTATACGATGCTCATACATACATCAGTTATTTACGACGATTTTACGACGGATACGATGAAAAACAAATCAAGGAAAATCGATGTAAATTCGCCGTAAATATTATGACGCTTTTACGACATCTTTTTTACGACAATTTTTGACCGTCCTAGATTTTACAACGATTTTATATAAAATATCTTTTACGATGATGCGTTTACGATAGTTTTGAAACCGTCGCAAGGGCGTCGTAATAGGAATTTTATAACGATTTTACAACGGTTTCGGCCGTTGTAAAAGATGTTTTTCTTCTAGTGTACAAGCTGTATGTGAGTCTGTGAGAGTGTGAGCCTAGGTCCGAGCATGTATGAGCAATGCTATTGGTATATTACTATAGTTATAATAGTTTGACCAAATTTAAACGATTTATTGGTAATGTAACGACGTTTTGGTAAAAAATTACATTACCAAAACCAATTCTAATGGTAGTGGTTGTGTAAAGCAATTCTAATGGTAACTGAATGGGTATCATTTTCCTTTTTTTTTTGAACAAATCATTGTCCTTCAAATACCCCAAGCTGCATGTGAGTCTGTGAGCCTAGGTCCGAGCATGTATGAGCAATACTATTGGTAATGTAATTATTGAATGAGTATCATTTGAATATCGTTGTTGACTTAAAAAAAAAAAAAAAAACCCAAAATAGAATAAATAAACAAAGTAACAAAAAAAAAGAAAAGAAAGACAGCAAATGTAGGGTCAATATAAACGTATCCTCGTCTCTTCGTCTCTTTGCATTCTTCTTCTTCCTCTTCTCTTCTCCTCTCGCTACCAAAAAAGAAAGAGGAAACATGGTTCTGAGTAAAACGGCAACGGAGAGTGGCGAAAATGTTTGCTCGACGTTTGGATCTCGCTATGTCCGCACTGTACTTCCCAAGTAATTAAGAAGAACATTATTCTTCATCTTTACCTCTTATTGTTAATGGATTTATTTTCTTACTTAATAATGAAATAAGCGGATTATTATAGGTATGAGATTGGTGAGAGTTCGATTCCAAAGGATGCTGCTTATCAGATCATAAAAGATGAGCTGATGCTTGACGGTAACCCGAGGCTGAATCTAGCTTCGTTCGTGACGACATGGATGGAGCCAGAGTGCGACAAACTCATTATGGAGTCTATCAACAAGAACTATGTCGATATGGACGAGTACCCTGTCACCACCGAGCTACAGGTCTCTTGATCTCTCTTTAGATTCTTATACGTCCATGTTAATTAGGTTGTCCTTAGATCTCGTTTTAGTTTCTAACAATTATTTGAACCAAACTAAAAATCAAAGTTTTAACTAGGATTGGATTTGGAATGGTATTTTTAAAACAAAATATATGATTAATTCAATAATTAAGTTTTGTTCAATCACACATTCTAATTACATAAAGAACTCCGTTCTTGAATGTTCAATCCGGAGAAACGTAAATTAGATAATTAACGTTAAGAAATCTAGTTCAAGGCTAAAACTGTGAGAAATCATAGAGTATAAGATTCTAAAAAGAACAAAATTACAAAGCATATATCGAAAAAGTATCAATTTTGGATTACAGCCTTGAAGGGTTAGAGAGGGGGATTATAGTGAATAATCAGGAGTTATGTGAGGTGGAAGATGATTTTTTTTGTGTGTGGATAATTTACGGTTGAGTATTAGTCCTACATTTTCTATTCGATGACACTTTACTAAAAGCCAAAATCATATTATTTATGTTTTTTTGTTTTATTTTTTTAATAATATGACCCATACGGTTTTAGCTTTTATTGGCCGACATATTCAAGTTTTTATACTAGTGGCCTTGCTGATTTTATACGTTGCTCTCTCAAAGCATAAATAACATTGTTGACGACTGATATCTAATTGTCATCAATATTGGTGGCCCATTTGATTTGGGAACTTAGAAAATATCACCTTCGGTTATCGTTAAACCAATCCGTATACTGATCCGGTTTCTTTATTACTTCTAGATGAATCAATCAAGTACAAATAACATATGATTAAAGTTTTAAAAACATATAAATCTTCAAGCATCTATGGTATGGGAGAAAAAGATGGTAAAGCATAATGATAATTGAGGAGCCGAAAGACAAAGTTTTGTCGGCAACCTCTCTTCGTTTAACACATCACCACACAATTTTTTTGGTTTTGATTGGTTCACTCAATAATTTAATTGAAGATAATATATATATACTGTTTAGGGTATGTAAAGTTGAAAGGTGATTTACAGATTGTGTGGGAAGCTTTGCGAATACGCGGTACATGTTGTATGAAATTTATAATAATCTATAACTGACATAAGAAAACTATACATTAAAAAATGAATAAGAAGCTAAAAGTAAACAAATTTACAAAAAAACTATAAGTTGTCATGAAAACGTAAGGAGGAGCCCACCCACCATTACAATCTCGTGATTGCTAGGTCTATAGTCACACTGATTCTTTCATATGAAACTTAGATAGTTTCGTCAGAAAGTTGTACTCTCAGTTTGTTCTTAAGTGGAATAGGTGATGACATAACCGTGTGGCATAGTGTGAATACGATCATAATAAAATTAAAATATCATAGACTGCTTTACTGCGATTTGCCAATATATGCTGTCATATTGTTTATTTATCAATTATATATATAGCCAATTGTTGATAATTAGAGCGAATCAAACTAGAAGAAAACGTAAATTTTACAGAAAAATGTATTGAGACAAATATCCGTTTTAAGAATTTTGTTTGTTATTCGATGAATGAACAATACAAATCTCCTGTATCTATAGTGCTAGTGCCCCAAATTTAAATTCTAATAGGATTAGTAAAAATGAAGTTTTCCTTAATTTAGTATGATACCGTTTCCTAATATCAACATTCTTTTGCTATTTTAAAAATGGGTTCTTATTAACAACACCCATTGAAACTACTAAAATGTTATTTAGTCTATCAAATTTGTTTATCCTCTAGTTTGATGGAAGTTTAAAAATGTTTTGGTTGATTGATCATCTAGATATTTTGTGTAAAGATGATTACTGTTATTATTGGCTACAAAAAATATGTGCTCACACATCATAATTTTGAATTTGTTGGAAAAAACAGAACCGATGTGTAAACATCATAGCTCGACTGTTCAATGCGCCACTCAATGAAACAGAGACCGCGGTGGGAGTAGGGACGGTTGGGTCTTCGGAAGCCATCATGTTAGCCGGATTGGCCTTCAAAAGGAATTGGCAGAACAAACGCAAAGCCGAGGGTAAACCCTATGACAAACCCAACATTGTCACTGGAGCCAATGTTCAAGTGAGTATATATCTTCTTCATCTCACTATATTAACCATTATAAGAAATAAATGGTGATCAACAGAATATTTATTAAAAAGTTAAAATAATACTTAAAATATTGAAAAAAAAATACTTAAAATATTGCAGAACACACTTTTTGTTAGGTACTACCGAGATTGTCATTTAATAAAAATCAGTTGTTTTACTTTGATTTTTATTCACTCATAGATTTGCATACATTTTTCGTTTAACCTGTTTATATTACTTAAAGATTTTACTATCTTTTTTTTTCTTTCTTCCTTATCTATATGATAAATTGATGAAATAAGGACACAAAAAGGTTTAGGAAGAATTATTACTAGAGTCTCATGGGAACTAAGTCATAAAATACAGAGCTATATAGAAACTGAAACATCTTAAGCAATGTTTTCAGACCCGGACCGGACCAGACGGTTCGACCGGTTAAATCACAACCCGGTAAGATTTCTGGTTTGGTTTTTGTTGAAAACCCAGAACGTTATTAAACCGCTTAAATCCAGAAAAACCCGCTTAAATCCGGTGAACCGGTAAAACCCGACCCGGATGGGTTTCTGGTTTGGAAAAAAAAAATAGTTTTATAACTTAATTTATGAATATATATGATATTTTTTAAAAAATATATATATATATATATATATAGTTTTGAAAAACAAAATTAGAACAAGATGCAGAGCACTTAGAGTAACAGAAGATGAAGAAAACGAGGCGATAGCAAAATTAAAAAATATTGCTAGAACTTTCTACATTACTTTTGGATTTTATGAGATAATTAATATACTTTTATTTTAATGTTTTTAGTAGTAATAACAGTTTGTTTTTCTATATTTTATTGAATGGTTTGTTACTTTCTCACCATTATACAATTGTAAGTTTTATAATATCAATTTTTTTAGTAAAAAATAAACAGTTTAAAAAAGAAAATAAATAGAAGGAAAAAGAATATATAATAAAATATATAATTATAAATGTTCAAAAATATAGTAAATATGATCACTATATTTAGTGTATATTTTATTTAAATTTTATTGAAAAAAATTATACAAAAAAGATATATGATAATTAATGCGATTTAGTGACAAAACTTTTTACCAAAATTTGTATTTTTTTACACAACAGAAAAAATGTAACAAAAGTGATAAAATTTATTAAAAAACATAACAAATATATATACTTAATAGATCCGCAGTTGACCCGGATTGATCCAGGTTAATCCAGTGACCCGGCAACCCGAAGAACACTTCGGATCGTTGTCCGGGTCGGGTTTAAAAACATTGATCTTAAGTTTCCTAATTAAATAAAAATAATACATTCATAAATAGATAACTGTTAA